TTCTATCAATTGCTGGCTAAGATCTTATGATTGTTTCAGGGAACCTCTAATCACAAATATTATGTGGAGGAATTTGATAATACAGGTATAAAGTCCTTTAATTTATTTCATGTAATCTCAGTGGGCATATCAAGTGCATTTTTGTATTGATAAAGTAAATGGACGAGTTAGTTAATTTCTCTGGGGTGGTAATAATGTACTTGCTTTTTTCGTGTATTATTGTAGGCTCTCTATCAAGTGACTGTCCTCCTAGTCCTCAATTTCGGGGGAAGGAGAATCCTTAATCTGCAACATGATACACCTGACCATGCTTTCAGAGTTAGGAATACATTGATATTCAATGCGTTTGTCTTCTGTCAGGTAAGTGCTTACCTAATATTGAAAGATAATTGATATGTTTTTTTCGTTCTCTATAACAGATGAATGGGAAAAAAGATCTTATTCCCTTTACAAACGTGCCTCTTAACAATAATTCACAACTGCCTATCATCTCTGTTTTTCTCTTGTGTTTCTATTTTGTAGGTATTCAATGAATTTAATGCTCGAAAGCCAGACGAAATCAATGTGTGGAAGGGAGTAACTAAAAACCATCTTTTCATGGGAATAATTGCCCTTGAAGTAGTGCTTCAGGTATTCCTTTACTTCCCACTTGTAGCAGTAACTCCTGCACGTCGTGTACCCTTATCACATTTGCAACTCTTATACATCTTCTAGGTTATTATCATCTTTTTTCTGGGAAAGTTTGCCTCGACAGTTCGGCTGAGTTGGAAATTGTGGCTTGTTTCTCTTGCCATTGCTTTTGTCAGGTTTGCAGTACAATTTGAATTCGCATTACAATGCTTGCCGTAATAAACATATTATCACCTTCATGATCGTTATTGAATTGCTGAATTGTTCATTTTTTGGTTAACAGTTGGCCTCTTGCTGCTGTTGGAAAATTAATTCCCGTTCCGGAGAGAAACTTTGGAGATTACTTCAAATTTAAAAGTCGTAAACAAAAGAATCCAAGCGGTAAATGCAGCTGACTGAAATCTCGTTATTGTACTTTCTTCAATCTTGTCTTAAGTGGGAATATAGTTCAGTATTCTAAGTTGATGACAGTATCTTTTTTCTTTGTGTTTTCAGGTAAAGGGGATGCTCCATTAGAAGGTTCTGCATGATAGGGGCTTGAAATATGTATAGAAGCAAACACTACACCAACTTTGGAGGCCAATGAGTTGTGATATGAAGTACATGTCTAAGTTGTTGATGGTTTTTTGGCTAACAAACATGTCTATACACTTGGGTTAGTCCATAGGTTGTTAATACCAACACTATAATCTGGCTTTTGTTTTCGTTTTCAGATCTTTTGTTTTATGCCTTTGGAATTTGAAATAGCAGTAGGCGAGAAATCGGCCTCGTCTAAGTTTGCTTATGTGGTTTATTGGAACTTGTACATGTGGTTTAGCAAAAACTCTTTTTTAATGGAGAACTTACCCAGATATCTTTTACATTACCACCCTTCAGACTTGTGGAGTCCATACTCCATATATATTAAATGATGCGGAGCCAAAGAGTGTTTTGGTACTATCAATATTATTATATTATATATCATTACATGACTTTGGAAATAGATCCTGTTAGTCATGTCAATTATACTCGGAATGGTATGTGGAAATTTGCATCTGCTTTCCTAAACAAATGGGGAGACGGTAAATTCTGATAAACCAATAGAGATGGCCGTGGGGCGGTCACTGGTTATGGAATTTAATCAGTGTCGTTTCGT